GATAGCCACTTGCTTGTGCAATGGGGTGAAGTTTAATTCACTTGATATTGTTTTACTTGAATCTTCCCATTGATGTTTTAGGACTGAAATTGAATCCAGGACGCGCGTTTCATCTTGTTTGGGAAGATTCAAGTAAAACAATATCAAGTGAATTAAATTATCATTTAGTTATAAAACCTACATCTTTATGGTAAAACTTACATTAAAGGTTCACTACATTTCCAGCAGTTCCTTTGATAATGCAATGAGATGACAAAGGTTATGGGAATTATGTGATATATTTGTGCAATACATTTTGAACAATCTGACCATATATACTTGTTAAGATATTATATATGCAAAATAAAAGGTCAACTAGACAAACTAAAAGGTAAGAGGAGACATAAATAATAAAGTAGGCAAAAGTAATGTAAAAACTGCTCTAGTTAATAAGTCAGTAGTACCAGGGTAGGTTAACAGCAGGAACAAATTGTTTTCGATCACACAATAGGGTTTCGGCTTCTCTATATCTAAGACTTCAATAAGCTTTAGCATACGCTTTTGAAAACATTCGTACAAAACTAAAAAGGCTGACTTGAAGTCAACTTTATGACCTTACTTACGTCTGTTACCCCTCGTGGGGAGGGGATAGGCCACCCACCAGCATTCTCCATAGAACTCTTTCCTAGGCAATCCTGACCAAAACCGTATAACCAGTCTCAACCAATTGTTTCGTAATGGATGACCATATTTGTCTCCCCTGTGGTCTTATTTGACCACTGGGATTAATTTGTCTTTGTAGCCATTTGGATAGTTTTTCAGCCAGCCCTACTGGTAGCTCACGATTGCTCCTCTCTATGTACGTGTTTTCACATATACATGTAAATTGATAGACCTAATGAGATATGACACACGCTTTATTTGGGTTTTTGATGACAGACAGACATCCACTTTTCGATAATCATGAATGTAATAGTAATAGCTAATTTAAGTCTTTGTTTGAGTCACCTCTAAATGATAAGCTGATGTTGACTTGTTTATTGGGTGCCATGCACGTCATAGGTTTCATCTTATTGCTACCCTTCCAATGGTGCATAAACATCAGTGATTATTATTGTTTCAGTTAAGAGCTTCATATCTCCTTCAATGGTATCACTAGTACAAATACAACTATCCTACAGAATAAGCCCTTTATTAATCCATATTTGTAATATATTGGATAATGACTACGGAATTTAAGATACTGCCCCATTTATGTCGGCGTTTTATATAGAGAACCATCGTCTCTCCTACTAGTCAGTATGTCTTGAAAAGGAAGTTGATTATTCATCACTTCTTCATATGTATGGTTTTGACTTGCATTGAGTTCTTTTAACAAACGGTTCACATCACCTATGACTATGAAGTCATCTACATTTTCCTTAGTCTATGAGAAATTCTGTGATGATGGAATTTCTTCATTTCACTTCTATGGTATACTGAACTGTGGAATTTCCTATCACATGGGAAGTTCAATTGTTAAATAGTTCGATCATGTTTAGATATCTAAATGAATCAAAACAAAAGGATGTGTAAATCTTTGTTTGTCAAGGCCGTACTGTATGAGTCACATAAAAGTGCCATAACCAGGTAACTTAGAGCTATTTATTTTGGGGATTTATTTACCGCTACATTAGTTTGGGGAGTCATTCATCACAAAATGATTTATGAATTAAATGGATCTCCACAAAACTCTCTTCAACTATACTAATAAATTGTTATTCTACCAACTAGATTTAAATTTCTTAGGAAATATTTTTAGTCTTATAATCAAAAATGAATAGTCGCTAGAAGTGGAATTTAAGATGCGCGTTTCGTCCCAATTAAAAACCCATCAACTGAATGTAACTGCATGTCAGACTTGATGTTCACTCTAGGACTCGAACTCAATACCATTCACTTCAAATGCCATTGAGTTATCCGCTTAGTTTAACCTCCTTTATACGCATAATTTACTTGTTATCTATTAATGAGCTACAATATGAAATATTGAGCTTCTGTTATACTCTGGCCATGAAGGAGAAAATGCTCCATATACACAAGGAGTTGCATTGATGCTGTCCATACAAGCACAAAAGGCACTTAAAGGATGGGAATCTCATGGACCAAGGATCATCAAAGCCTCCTTCAAAACAAAGAAAGAGGGTATTTCAATGAACATCATTCAATGCTATGCGCCTACCAACGACTACAATGAAGACGCGAAAGATCAATTCTACAATAGGCTGCAGTCAATTATCGAGAAGTGCCCGACAAAAGACCTGACCATTCTGATGGGAGATTTCAATGCCAAGGTTGGAACGGACAACACTGGATAATGAAGACATCATGGGACGACACGGACTGGGAGAAAGGAACGAAAATGGTGAGAGATTTGCAAACCTATATGCCTTCAATAAACTGGTCATAGGCGGCACCATATTCCCACATAAACGCATACACAAAACCACATGGACTTCACCGGATCACACCACTCAAAACCAAATCGACCATATCTGCATCAACAAAAAGTTCAGGAGGACGATGGAAGACGTGAGAACCAAGAGAGGAGCTGATATAGCATCAGATCATCACTTGCTGGTCGCCAAGATGAAATTGAAACTCAAGAAGCACTGGACAATGGGCGGACAATATCACAAAAGTTCAATACGGCCTTTATTCAGGATACTGACAAACTCAACAAATTCAAGATAGACCTCAGCAACAAGTTCCAGGCCTTTCATGATCTACTCAATGGAGAAGGAACTACTATGAAAAGCAGCTGGAAGGGGATCAAAGAGGCAATCACTTCAATATGTCATGAGGTCCTGGGTCACAAGAAGCACTATCACAAGGAATGGATCACTGTTGATACACTGGATAAGATTCAAGAAAGAAGGAACAAGAAGGCAGCAACCAATACCAGCCCAACAAGAGCAGAATAAACCAATGCACAAGCTGAGTACACAGAAGTAAACAAGCAGGTGAAGAGGAGCATCAGAACCGACAAACGTAAATATGTGGAAGATCTAGCGATGACGGCGGAAAAGGCTGCAAGAGAAGGAAACATGGGACAACTGTATGACACAACAAAGGAACTCTCTGGAAATCGCCGCAAACCAGAACGACCAGTGAAAAGCAAGGAAGGCGAGGCAATCACCAACATTGAAGAGCAACGAAACAGGTGTATAGAATACTTCAAGGAACTCTTGAATCGACCAGCCCCAATGAACCCACTCAATATCGAAGCAGCACCCACGGACCTTCCAATCGATGTTTGCCCACCAACAATTGAAGAAATCAGCATGGCCATCAGACAAGTCAAGAGTGACAAAACAACAGGACCAGACAACATTCCAGCAGTGGCACTAAAAGCAGATGTAGCAGTAATTGTTAAGATACTCCACATTCTCTTCAATAAGATTTGGGATGAAGAACAAGTACCAACAATTGGAAAAAAGGACACCTGATCAAGATACCAAAGAAAGGCGATCTCAGCAAGTGTGATAACTACAAGGGCATCACTCTTCTCTCAATACCAGGAAAAGTCTTCAACAGGGTATTGTTAAACAAGATGAAGGACTGCGTAGACGCTCAACTTCGTGACCAACAGGCAGGATTCCGTAAGGAAAGATCGTGTGCAGACCAAATCGCAACTCTACGGATCATTGTGGAACAATCAATTGAATGGAATTCATCACTCTTCATCAACTTCATTGACTACAAAAAGGCATTTGATAGCGTGGACAGAACAACACTATGGAAACTTCTTCGACACTACGGCGTGCCTTAGAAGATAGTCAATATCATACAGAACTCATATGATGGATTACACTGCAAAATCTTCCATGGAGGACAGTTGACAAAGTCGTTCAAAGTGAAGACCGGTGTCAGGCAAGGTTGCTTACTCTCACCCTTCCTCTTTCTCCTGCTGATCGACTGGATCATGAAGACGTCAACATCTGAAGGGAAGCACGGGATACAGCGGGCGTCTAGGATGCAGTTGGAGGGTCTAGACTTCGCAGATGATCTGGCCCTTCTATCCCAAACGCAACAACAAATGCAGGAGAAGACGACCAGTGTAACAGCAACCTCAGCAACAGTAGATCTCATCATACACAAATGAAAAGCAAGAATCTGCAATACAACACAGCATGCAACAAACGAATCATACTTGACGGAGAAGCTGTGGAATATGTGAAGACCTTTACATATTTGGGCAGCATCATTGATGAGCAGGGTGGATCTGATGCAGATGTGAAGGCGCGGATCGGCAAAGCAAGAGCAGCATATTTACAACTGAGGAACATCTGGAACTCAAAGCAACTGTCAACCAACACCAAGGTCAGGATTTTCAATACAAATGTCAACACAGTTCTACTGTATGGGGCAGAGACCTGGAGAACTATGAAAGCCATCATCTAGAAGATACAGGTGTTTATTAACAGTTATCTACGCAAAATACTTCAGATCCGTTGGCCGGACACTATTGTTAACAACCTACTGTGGGAGAGAACAAATCAGATCCCAGCAGAGGAAGAAATCTGGAAGGAGCGCTGGAAGTGGATAGCACACATTGAGGAAAGCAACCAACTGCGTCACAAGGCAAGCCCTCACATGGAATCCTCAAGGTCAAAGGAAAAGAGGAAGAACAAGGAACACATTACGCCGGGAAATGGAAATAGACATGAGAAAAATGAACAAGAATTGGATGGGACTAGAAAAGAAGGCCGAGGACAGAGTGTGTTGTAGAATGCTGGTCAGCGGCCTATGCTCCATTGGGAGTAACAGGCGTAAGTAAGTAAGTAAGTAATATGAAATATTAATGAATAGTAACTCCTGTTTATTAACATAATAAATATATGGATTCAGTCATATTAATAATTCAGGAAGGGATATTTTAACCTTGAATTTACTTCAAGGTCACATGAATGCCCGTGTGAAGATGACCACCCACACATTGGCACTACTGACACATTTACGGTAAGATAATAAAATTGATTAGTAGGTACAACTTATATATATAGCGTAGGCTTGAAAATATTGAATTCAATCATATGTATATTGTACATTATACAACTGACCTGGCGTCTAAAATAGGGAAATAACCTATCAGGATACATAAATCCCTTATGTCTCACTCATATTGGTTATCGAATAGTCATGAATGAATATAAATACTGTATATTATATATGTGCACAATTGACCTTGTATTCTAACCTATCCAGAAGTATTTGCGAAATAAAAAAACAAAATTCATAGAGAAGAAAATCTTTTTAATTTGATCATTACAATTAAATATACTACTTACTTCTGATAACATTTGTGATAACAGTAGTAGTGATAGTAGTAGAAGTCGTATTAGTAGTCATAGTCTTAGTAGTTGTTGTTGTTGTTATTGCTGTCATCGTAGTGATGATATTCAAAGTGTATTATCTCTGATGATCAATGTTTCAATGGATTATTAGACAATTTTATTCAACAGGAAACGATTGTAAATTGATTTAAAGAAATTAAAAATCACAAAAAAAGAAGAAAACAAAAAAAGGAGAAAACAAAAACAAGAAAAAAAAAAGAAAACAAAGAAGAAAGTGATTATTTTTGGGAAAGCATTATATCATACTTTATATATATCAAACTATATTCTTAAATAATAAACAAATGGGTGGTATTCATTCAAATAAACGAATTAATAAAACAGAATTAAAGAAACTTTCAGCTAAAACACATTTTACTGAAGGACAAATTAAAAAATGGTATAAAGGATTCATTGTAAGTTGTTTATTTCATTCATTTTATATATATCTGTATCCATCTATGTATCTATGCATCTATCTATCAGATGTTTTATACTATTATTAGTGTAAAATCAATCAGTCAATCAGTTACCATGTAGGACCAAGCACGTATATGTATCGGTCCAAATGGCCATATCTCATTAGCACAATAAGATAAACACCGGATTCATAGAAGTAGTTAACTCAATGGTGTAATATGTTATAACTTGTGAACCTGTGTGCCCTGTATATTGGGTAACACAACGATACCACCAATCGGAGAGCAGCGAATTATCGACCGAACACGTGCGAGCAGCCTAGAGTCCTGATTAGTCTTGCTTCTTGTCTAGCCCAGCCAGTTGAGTCCAGAACACAAATTTCAGCCTCTGCAATATGAATCATTTATTTCAAACATACTCAGTTTATATACCAATCAAACAGACCACCACGTACCAATAAAATAGGAAACAACATTTATACAATATTTGGCCAAAAGTGGCTGTGAATGATGGAGATAGTAATTGATAGACAGGCCATAACTCATGAATGGTAAGACGTATAATAATAGTTTATGGGTCAAAATAAAGCTTATAATAAAAGGGAGATGAATATGAATAGTTTAGTTACATAACAATTATACGATAAAAATATACGCATAGTATTAGTCCATAAATGGATCCCAAAGGTTACCATTCATTATTTTTATCGGGATATAACACCTCCCCTTTTTGGTCCACCAGGGTGCTTGGTACCTGTGTGGTTGCGCCACAGGATTGAGCTATACTATTCAGATTGTAGCGTTAAAGCCTGTACGGTGTCTGGTTCCTCTGCTAAACGGGGTTAAGCTGCACTGTTTGGGTTTTTACGTGAAAGTCCGGATGGTGTCTGGTTCTCCTGAAAACCAATGTAAAATTACCCTGGCCCACAAGGGTAAACTATATAACTATAACTTTTTGAAGATCCGGACTTTAAATTTTCCGGGTTTATCTTCCTCCATGAAACAGTGTTAGATCCTCATATTCTCAAGCTACATTTAATTTGACTTTATTTAAAACATATTTGTCACATGGAACAAAGAATTTACTAAAAGTGATTAAATGGTGAGGATCAACGATGCTTTATATGAGGTCATAAAAGTTTGGTTCTTCTGAAACATTTTCACCGAATTTCTTGAAAATTTGATTTGTAGATAGATGACCACTAGAATAATCAGCATCTATCAAAATTTTATTAGGTTCTTGATCGTCGTCTGATTGCATATAAGGATATAGTACAGGAAGAAAGAATTAGTTTGTAGAAAGAAAATTTAAGAAAAGACATAGAGTGATCGATTCTGAACTATGTCACCAAGAATCTCCAACCATTGGTTACGATAGTCACACGGACTCCAACTAAGTAGTCTGCATCTACCAACAATACAAATATAATGTAATTGAAGTTAGTCATAGATTCAATTCAAAGCCTATAAGAGTACATATGTGGGATACTATTGTTTGATTATCGGTATTTTTGAGGAAATCCTCGTGTATCCTAGAATAACTAGGTGAGCATTACTGAGGATAAACATAGATTATTAGGAGAAAATGATAAATTGAATGATGAAGTTTCTGAATCATCCCTAACTGTAATAACTAGGATGTGAATTGCATATGTTCAGCCACCTCCTATCCCGACATATGACGCATGCTCAAAGAGAAATAACTTGAAATGGAACTGAACTCAATCTAACCAAGATGTTGCATTCATGACTGTTGAAATGAAATTTATTGGTGGAGACAGACTATATGCTCAAAATCGTCATGATTAATCATAACCAGTATTTGAAGAAAATAAGTAACTTGACTCAGAAACTGGTTCAATAGCTCAGATATATTCATATGTCATTTACCCCTACATCTGGAGTTTAAATACTTCTTCATCTATACCTTCAATTCGAACCATGATCTCAGTATAACTGATATTACAGTGATGTAGACCTTTCTGCAGTTAAACTTGTAAATTTTACAGAATCAGTTAGTAGAATCTGAGAATCATACAGTAATTAATTCATTTACAAACTGTTAATCAACTACCTCAAACTTGACTGTTCATTCTGAAAAATGCCAATCAATCGTCTCATACTTTGTTGTCTCCACATCAATCATTCTTTGTTCTCATTCTCTTTTCTTCGATCTTCTTAACCTTCTGTAACCAGACAATACACTTTTGATTGATGATACATACTACTTATATCTATCGACATCAGTAGCATACACCACATGACTATCTAAACTAATAAACATTCATCTCAGGCTCTGTGTTAATCATGACTAACAATCACAAAATAATCTGTCCAGATAGATATTTTTTCTCAATTCCTTTTCTTATTTATTTGTATTCTATAGTGAACTTATTTCATCATTTAAATAAGAATCTTCAGATTTTAATGGTTAATTATAATAAATGTTAAAAGTGATGAAGTGTTCTACCGATGAACTGTTCTACTGATGAGTTGTTCTACTGATGAACTGTTCTACCGACGAACTGTCTTACTGATGAACTGCTCTGCTGATGAACTGTTCTGCTGATGAACTGCTCTACCGATGAACTGTTCTACTGATGAACTGCTCTACCGATGAACTGTTCTACTGCTGAACTGTTCTACTGATGAAAATATTTTGAAATTTAGACAACTGATAATTACAATTAAGAATATAATGACATGTTTTTCATTTTGTTTATAGACTTAATACATGCCTAGGTAGATAGTAAAAGTAAAGGATAGAAGTTGATTGAGAAGATTTTCCATATTATTTCGATTAATAATAATGAATAAGTAACTTTCATTCATTAGTAAAATGCATTTGTAACTGTTTAAATGGAAATCATTTACTTACTTACACCTGTTACCCCTCATGGGGGAGCTTAGGCCGCTCACCATGATTCTCTATCCAACTCTGTCTTGGATAGTCGTTTCCATTTGCTATTCATCCTTCTCATATCTGCCAACAATTCTTGACGAAGTATGTTCATTGGCCTTCCTCTCTTCCATTTCCCTTCAGGATTCCAAGTTAGCGCTTGCCTCGTAATACAGTTTGATAATTCCTTCAATTTGTGTCCTGTTCACTTCCAACGTCTTTTTCTAATTTCCTCTTCAATTAAAAGCTGGTTTTGTTCTCTTCCACTGTAGGCTGTTGTTGATGGTATCCGGCAGTTTGAAAGGAAATCACTTATACATCAGATATTTCGATGTACTTCTTCGAAGTACTAATTAGAGATAATGATTTAGTGAATGATTTGACCATTGCTTATCATAATGTAGTTGGATTAGAATACAATTTATTCAAATAATAGATATTAGATTGGTATCATGAATGAATCAATGTTAGAACACCATTGGAAACGTGGAAGCACGCGATGGCCATTTCGTCATAGAATGTGACTCCTCAGCAGTGCTCATCCACGGTTTCGTACGAAGGGCCTAGAACCCAGTACTTTCAGGATTTTAAGCGAACCACACTAATGAAAATCGATTACTTACACTTATAAAAAACTTCAACAGACTAGTATTAAATACTTTATGAATGAATTCAGGAAGATAATCCACCATTTCTTACTTTTAAATCCTAATCTTATTCATTCTAAGTAGCACTAATCTTTCTCACAGGATTATGTTAAACTTGACGTACGTAATCTACGAAAGCACCCGTATAAAGATTCGGTAATCAAATAGTCGGAAACAATTCAATAGACTTGAAGTATTCCTTAGTTCAGAGGCGTATTATCTGTTCCTGTAGGACAAAAAAAAAGAAAATCTCCCTATAACAATCAATTCACCTTTTTTATGGTTCACTTAAAGTTAACTCTTATGTTTCGTAGTTCTTATTACGGAATAATCTTGGATAGATAACTAGTGTAAAACAGTAATCACTGTCCCAGTGTTGGGCTCCTCAATAGTACCTATCCACGACTTTAAAACTCCATAAAAACTTACTGAACAATTTTATGAAATGCTTACATTATTGACGGATTACTTTTTAATACTCATTCAGTCATTATTAGTGTAGGATCTGACTTACGCATGCATCAATCTAAGCTGAGGATCATTAAATAAACTTTGAAATTTCTTGGAACCTCAAGACCATTAAGTCAGAAGGTAATGACTTTTTATATCCCATTATAGATAGCCCATTATATATTACTGGACATCATAAACGAAGACTGATGTACTTCTAACATGATTGAACTTGTTATTTACAACTAGTCATTTAGAGCTATGGAAATTGTCATCTTGAAATTAAGATGAATATAAATCTCTGATCTATTCAATGGTAATTCAATTGATATCACTTCATAATATGAGACTAATTCCAATTCATATTCTTAAATAATAGCTCTAGCAATGAAGTCAAAAAGGTGAATTTCGTCCTAATTAACACTCGTCAACTTATAACTACATGCAATATTCACATACATAACTATCCCATAGAAGGTAATCATAAACGAAGAGAGACTAATCAAATACAACTTTTAATGTATCAATAGAATGGAATAGTTAATAATGATTCATTTGAGAAGTTAAAATATATGTATATTGTTTTAACGAGTTATTTTCCACTATACAGGGTATAGAGAGTATCATGTAGTTGATTAATAGGTGCTTCTACTAGACTCTAAATTAATTGATTTTTTAATTTTATAGAATTAGAATAAAATGCTACCGGTAATGAGATGCACAATGAACCAAAATTCTACTCTATCTAACATTTTATGGCATTTCAAACTCTAACTATCCTTCATTCATTGCCTCTGAAATTTATCTACCTACCAACCGATTTATCTACCTATCTATTATTATTTATTTTAACACATAGATATTGATACAAGGAGGCACTGAATACATATGCGCCACACAGATCTCATTCGATATGTGTGAGGGCTGGGATACTGCCCGGGTTCCCAAACCAAAGCAGGTGGTTTTCTTAGGAAGCCACACCCCAAGCCTTTGACCTGAAG